CCCCCTGCCGCACGCCTCGCGCATGCGCTCCTGCAACCCGGGCGCCAGTGGTTCTGCCAGGCTGGAGGGAGACCCGTACCCTGCGCCGTGCCCGCTGACACTGTGGGGAGGTGACACCCCTGGAACACACGTGTCCCTGTTACATGTGGCCTGTTAGCTGTGGCCATGACACAGGAAGTACTGACCAACAAGAAGGGTAGAGCATATACACACAGGAAATGTTGTAGATATTAGAGAAAGGAACATAAAAACATGTGCATTACCGCAAAGTGTCACTAGATGGCAGCATGTGAACTAAATATAAAACGTCCATAGGAAAATGATTAAGGGAAAACAAACTATATAAATTCTTATCTATTAACAATGCTAATAACATATTCTATGCCCCATTGGGGAGGCACACTCCCCGTCTGGCATTGTAAATGTCACTATTTACATTATAACGGTAGTTATGCAAACAACAATGTAATTTGCTTTGATGTCTTGAAGACCTGAAAGACATAAAGGAGAACCTGCATATAATGCAATAACAATAACTCTTAATATAAGGTTTCAAGTTATTTCAACTAAAGTTCAAGACACTTTCTTCTGATGTCACAGGTAGGATCCAACAGCATACGTAAGCAAGTTCAGTCTCCAAACGGCAAGAGCAAAATAAGTTCCGTGATAGGTCTTTACAGTCTCGTCTTGAAACTTTCACCTCCACCTTACGTACCTTACCGTCATCACTAGGAACGCTCTTTACAATAAGTCCCATAGGCCACTCGACTCTTTCAGCTTGCTGGTCCTTAAGCAGAACGAGATCTCCAACTTGGATGTTAGGGTTCAGGCGTTGCCATTTCCTGCGTCCTTGCAGAGTAGAAAGATACTCCATCTTCCAACGATTCCAGAAGCAGTTGGCAAGGTCTTGTACTCGCTTCCACTGGTCATAGCACAGATGTCCTGCTTTAAAGTCATCAGGTGGAACAGGAACAGACCCAAGCTTCTGGGTAAGAAGAGTAGCCTGAGTAAGGGTGGTTGGGGTCTCTGGATCTGTAGACACTGGAACAAGTGGTCTTGAATTAATTATGGAAGATGCTTCTGCCAGGAAGGTAGTTAGAATCTCATGGGTAAGTCTTGTGGAGTTCAAGTCCATAAGCATAGACTCCAGTATTTTCCGTGTGATGACTATCATTCTCTCCCATGAACCACCCATGTGGGAAGAATGAGGAGGATTGAAAATCCATGTACAGCCTTTTTCAGCTAAAAGGTCTTGGATTGGCCTAGAGTTGAGCTGTAACTCTCGGCAGGCTCCAACGAAATTAGTTCCACAATCAGATCTTATTGTCTTGACTGGTCCTCTGATGGCAAGGAATCGTCTTAGAGCCTTGATGAAACTTGAGGTATCCATAGATTCTATAACTTCAATGTGTACTGCACGCACACTCATGCAGGTGAACAACACTGCCCATCGCTTTGCTATTTGCATGGCCACCTCGGGTTCTGCGGGCTGTTACCATCCATGGTCCAAAGACATCCAGACCAACATGAGTAAAAGGTGGGTCAGCACTTAACCTGTCAGCTGGCAAATCTGACATTTGCTGTTGCTGGTGTTTACCTCTCAGTTTGCGGCCCTGAACACAGCTGTCCAGTGTAGCTGTAATCTGTCTTTTTGCTCCTATAATCCAAAGGCCTGCAGCTCTTATGATGTGATGGCGAGCAGGTATAATGAGAGGATTCTGTTCTTGCTCACTGAACTTAGCCTTGTTTAAGCGTCCACCAACCCTTAACATGCCATCATTGTCAATGAATGGGTTTAGGTTAGCAATTGGACTGTTTTTTGAAATGTCCCTCTTGTCACCGATACATCTAATTTCTGAGCCAAAGACATCCTGTTGTACACTGCGTATTATGATCAGTTCACCTTCAGCAATGTCTTTTGCAGAAAGAAGCTTTTGGCACGTGTGCCAACCTTGACAGTGAGCATCTGTGGGCTTCGTGTGAAAGCAGTGTGCAATATGGACTAACCTTGCGGTGGTGCGTACAAGCCTTGTCCACTTGGAGAAACGTTCAAAGCGTTGACAGCCCAAGGCGAGTCTTTGTTCAGTTCTGGTGACAAGGGTTTTAACTTCAGGATGAATCTCTGGGTCTTTGTCAGGTTCTAGAAGATTGAAGACATCAGCTGTGGTTTCTTCTAGATGATCCAGCAGGAATTCAGGACCTGTTAACCAAGAAGAATTTGCAAAGACACTGGCAGACACTGGCCTGTTGGCCTGATCTGCAGGATTCATTTCAGATGGAACATAATGCCATTGTTCAGGTTTAGAGGATTTCCTGATTCTTTCTACACGGTTGCTGACATAGGCATAGAAACGTTTAGTCTGGTTGTATATGTAGCCCAGAACAATGTTGCTGTCTGTGTAGAATTTGATGTCATCTATCTGAATATCTAGCTCACGCAGTATGAAATCTGCAATTTCTACAGCTAGCACATAGCACAGTCCCACAAAGTTCAAGCCTAGGAATTGTGTGCTCAGGCTTAGGTGCTAACTTAGCTTTCCCAATCAGAAACTCTATGTGGGTTTGATTAGAGGAATCTCTTACCTTGAGGTAGGCGACAGCTGCTATGGCCTCAGTAGAGCATCCCAATCTTTGATAGTCTATGAGAGCTGTCTAAGTATGGATTTACCTTGTATGGTGATGGGTGCCACAAATCCCACTGAATCGTACAGGCTGTTCACCACTGACAGAGCACCACGCTTGGTAAATGGCTTGTCTGCAGAGCTGACTTGAAAGCCGAAGGTGTCTTTTAATAAGTCTCA